AGGGAGAGTAGCTTCCCCAGGTCTCCCACTTCTACCCACCCCCTCACCTGCCTCTGACCCAGACCAAGCATCATAGCCCAAGACTCCAGGCTGTCACTCAAGTTCCCCTGCTCCTTCTTCCCTGCCCACTGTGCCCCCATCACCTGTGTCTAGACAGCCCCCAGCCCACTCCTTAGTTCCCACCTTGAGTCCCTCCATCCCCAGGCCCTGAGTCCATTCAAGTCCTCCTGGTAGGGGGCTCAAGGAAAGAGGGGGCGCCTCCTTAGGAGGCTATCTCCCCGAGTATCTTTATGTCCGCTGTTTCTCTTCTCTGTCTCTCCCTCTCTCTCCTCTTCCTCTGGCACTCATTTCTAACATCCGTGCACCAGGCCTACGGGTTGCCATGGAGATGCAGTGTGCAGCTGGATGGTGTGTGAGGAGCTGTGTGCAGAGGCTCTGTAGCTCGGGTGGCTGTGTGTGAAACATGCCCATGTGCAAGGAAGCATTCTTCATCTTCCAGAAGTGAGACCCAGGCCAAGGCCCCAGTGACCCTAAACCCCTCGGCCAGATTCATCTGGGACACATCCTGCCCCTCACTCCCTGCAGGTCAGGTACCAAATTCTGCTCAGTCCAGGCTGTGGATTGGCAGATTCTGGAGGGGCCCTAACCTGCTCCTCCTGTCCAAGGAGAGGATTGGGAACCCCAGGAAAGGAACAGGAGTGAACAGACTTTGACAGTTGGGGTGAAGATTAAGCTGTGCAGATGGGCTGACTGATAAGAGGCCAATAGCCCCCCAACCCAGGGGATTGGGGGTGGGAAGGTTGGTCCAGCAAGCTGGAAATTCCACTTGTTTTTATTTACATTACCCAGTATTTATCCAGAGGGTTGGGAGAAGTGAGAGGCCTAGGTTCCCGCCCTCAGGAGGCTTAGCATCTTGGAGGAATCAGGCTAACTTCTTTATGGGTCCCAGCTAACGGCCTTGGCAGCTGAGCTGCCTGCTCCTGGGGAGCTCTTCTCTGAGCTCTCATCTTCCGTTTCCTCAGAGAAGCTTCCTGGGCCACACTGACTAAGGCGGCCCTTTCCTCTCTCCCACTTCTAGTTATCCTCCTTCATGTCCCACTGTTTGTCGCTTCCGTAGCACTTTAACACAATCTATAATTATCTCATTTGTTTGTTTATTGCCTATCTTCTAGAATCTAAGTCCCAAGAGACAGTTAGAGACCATGCCTGTCTAATTCAGTGCTGCAATGCCAGCACCGGGCACAGGCCCTGCCACATAGGAGGTGTTCAACATATGTTAAATAAAAGAGTGGACAAATTATTTCATCACAGCCTCACAACAATGGTCTGTGATGGTAAACATTCGCCTCCCCATTTTACAGAGAATAATCAAAGTTCAGTCACCTGCCCAAGGTCATACCACTAGGAAGTAGTGCAGCCAGAGTTGTAATATAGGTAGGTCTCTGACTGCAGGTGTGATAGAGAACATTAGTCTCCTTATTTTACAAATGGAGAAACCAAGGCTCAATCACCTGTCCAAGGTCATACCACTAGGAAGTAGTGCAGCCTGAGTTCTAAGGTAGGTCTTTGACTCCAGATGTGATGGAAGGTGAGGACCATTTTCCTAACCCTACATTGCACCAGATTCCTCTTCCTGTCTGTCTCTGGGTGTCTCTACTCCCATCCCAGGCATTCCCAGATAAACTGGGGCAGAGGAGGAAAGAGGACAATTAGAATCTGTGAAGCATGTAGATGTGACCTTTTCTTTCAGAGGCCTGGGATCCTGAAAAGGCCCCCTTTCGCCCTCCTTAGGTGGACCAGCAGGACCTTCTAGTTCTGGCCCCGGCCTTCTTCCCCAATTTCTCCTGCCTTCCGGAACGACCTCCCCTTCCTCTCCTCCACCCCCAGGCCTTTGCACACACGGCTCCCTCCGCCCTGCCACACTGATGGCTTCCGCAGCGGGCTGTTCCATCTGCCCTTGGAAACTCAACACCGGCACCACTCCTTCCAGGAAGCCTTCTGGACTCACTGGAGGAAACACCAGCCTGAAATTTCAGGGCAGGGCTGAACACATGATGTGGTCATTGTTTACCTGTCTGCCTTTCCCTTAGAGACCGTGTGTCATTCTTGGAGTGTCCCAGTTCCTTGTTCTGGGCCTGCACAAGGAGGGGCTCAGGACATGAGTGTAGAACGAGTGAACCAACCAGAGGCAGGATTTAGTCCCCAAGTCCTTGACCCCAGACATTTTTTCCAGGACTTGGCCTTCATGGAAGTTCCTCATCCCCCATAGTCTGGCCAAGTCAGGGGTGGGGAGGATGTGGGGCCCTCTGGTTGATTCAGTGCTTCCTCTGATCTGAAGGTGAGGCCTGCAGGTTAGGGGCCAGTCACCCTGGCCACTGGTAGAGGGAGGGTTGGTGATTCTGTAACTGGAAGGTTAGTAGGGGGACCAGGTTGCACACTTGGCCGGGGAGCTGACCTGACCTTGTGGATTCAAAAACAACCAGAGGGGCTTTTGCCCTTCCTTCCCCACCTCCCACTTCCAATTTAATGAGGGGCCCTGGAGTGGGTGCCAGGCCCTGCGAAGCCCCGCCTATGGAATGGATGAAGGGGCACCCGTGAACCCCACCGCACCCGCGGCCGATCCGGGTTTACACAGCGGCTCAGCCAGGATTAGTCCCCGCGCTGGCTGATCCCGGCCGCTGAGCCGACCCCGGTGTCCTGGCGCCAGGCCCACGCTGCGGGCGGGGAGAAGCACGCCGCTGAGCAGGGGCGCTGGCGGCGGGGTGGGGGTGGGGGTGACGGGGAGCCCCGGGGGGCGGGGCCAGGAAACCGGCTGATCCGGTCTCTGTTCTTGGACGTCTCCCGAGAGGGTGTTTACCCGGGAGCCTGGAATAAGGAGGCCTGCGCTCAGCCGGAAGCAGGGGGGTGGGGTGGGGTGGGGAGGCGAAGGGGGAAACGCAGTCAGAGAAGAGGACCGAGACCTTTTGGGTCCCCCATATCGACTTCCAGCCCTCGTGCCTGAGCGTGGGAGGGAGCGACAGGCAGATGCCTCCCATCCTTTCCACCCAGCGCGGCATTTCGTACTTGTTGCCAAAGGAGGGGGAGCGGGAATGGACCCGTCTCCCTGGTAGAAGGCAGCACAGCCTAGCGCCCAGCTCTGCACCCCGCACACATCCCTCACCTGCACCTCAGCTCCTGGTGGGGTTGGGGTGCCTGGAGCGGGTCGGCCCGGCGGACCGGCTGGGGGGCTCTTTGAGGTGGAAGTAGAAGTCTGTGCTGGGTCTGCGACCTCCCGTCCTCATTCCGCTCGCACGGCGGGGGGCGGGGGTCCGGGTCCCGCTCCTCCCGAGCACGTCCCCTGGCCCCTCCGAGGCCTCTACCCCAGATGTAGCCTCCAGTGCCCCCGGGACGCAGGCCCGAAGGCCCGGAAAAAGCGAAGTGGGGTCCGGTTTTCACACTTTTATTGTAAAGCTTGGGAATAATTACACGGGTCTTTCATTGACAGCTCAGCAAACAAACCGGAAACGAACCGAACCGGAGGGGTAGGGGGCGGTGCCTGCGCATGCTCGCGGCGGGGGGATGGGAGGGGGCGGAGGAGATCAGAGAAAGAGAAAGACAGAAAGAGACAGAAATCATTACAAATCAACGGGATTGTGCTCGCAGCGCCAGGGAGCGGGCGGGGCGGCGTGGGGCGGGGCGGGGCCCTTCCCGGGAGGAGCGAGGCGGTGGGAAGTGGCACTAACCAAGAGAAACACGACCCCAGTGCGGGCACTTGACGCGCCCAGATCCCCCCTCCCCGACCCCACCCCCCCACACACGAGAGAGACACGGCCCCCCTCCCCACTCAGATAACGGAGGAGACACAGTCCCCTCCTCCCCACGGGCAGACACACCCGCCTGGGAACCCCACGGGCGAGACACAGTCCCCCCTCCCAGAGAAGTCCCACGTGGAGACGCCCCGAAGAGACCTTCTCATGGCCAACACGAGCCCTCCCACCACCAGGAGACAGCCCCCACCCAGGGAAGAAATGGCTCCAGAGGCAGGGGGCCCTCAGGAGAGAGGTCCCCCAGACCCCCTAGGAGAAAAGACAACTCAGAGCTGTCTAGTCTTTCCCCAAAGTGCTGCAGGTCAGAGACCCCCAGAGCAGAGGTGCAGGGAGGGCCAGGACATCCCTTCCCGGACATGCTTCAGAGATCACTCCCTTCCCTGGGAAGAGAGGTGGCCCAAGACTGACATGCCTTAAGTCCTCCCAGGAATCCTGGGAGGAAAACAGGCTCCCCAGAGAGCCTGGGTAGGGAGAGACATGCTCCCATGGTCCCCAGCGGGAATACATGTCCCCCCAGAGACTCCCAAGGGGAGAGATAGGGGCTAGGGAGCCCCCAGAGGTGAGGGATGCTCCAGAGACCTTCCCCCTGGGATATGAGATACACTTCAGGGACCCAGGGAGAGAAATATGTCCCCGTATACCCTCCCCCTACCAAGAGACATGCTCTGAAGTAGGGGGTGTGGGGGCCGGCTAGGTCCCCTCTAGGAAGACACTGACTGGGTCCGGCTGGGTTTGAGGGGGTCTCCTCTGGCCAAATGTCGCCTATTTGTACATAAAACTGTACGCGACACAAGGCATTGGGGAAGGGCTTCACAGACGTAGGGCCAACAGGAGCGGTCCCCAGTGCGGTCACCCATCCCCTGCCCACCTTTGGTTTCACCTCTCAAGTGCCCAGGTGGTGACAGACTCGGCGCACCCCGGCCCCAACCAGGGGGCTGGGGGCTCTGCCTTGGCCTGTGGAAGGGCTCCTCCTCTGTGCTTCTCAGCCCTCCCAGCCATCTGGGCCACCCCTTCCTTCTGGCTTCTCCATTGTGCAAAATGCTTCTCTGCCCTTCCACCCAGTGCTCAGGGGTCTCCAAGACCAGAGCAGAATGCCCAGGCCACCAGGAGCTTCTGGGGGAGTCCACTGACCCCAGGAATGCCTCCTGTCTGGACCACCCTCTCCACCAAGCAAATGGGCCTCATACAATCTTCTTGCAAGGATCCTGACCTCCAAGACCCAGGAAGCCACTGCCCCACCAGCCGGGCACCTCATGTTAACCAACTCCACCACTATTGCACCTGCCCCGTTTGTGCAGGGGGGAAGGGGCTGTCTCTTTAACAAGCCCCAGCCCACTTCCTGGGCCTCCCCCAGGGAAAGGAGCCTTTGGCTAACCCCTAGACCTGGTTGCTGCACCCCAGCTCACTCTACCCCCTGCCCTCCGTAGAAGAGCTGTGCATGCTGGGGCCACCAGCCTAACAATGCTCTCCTTCCCAGCACTGTTACTCGAAGCCGAGTTAGGGGCAAGGAGCAGAGTTTAAGATAATTCTTCAGCCCCCTGGCTTTTTCGGGGTGGAGGTGGGGTCTCTGGGGTTACAGGAGTCAAGACCCCAGCAACACAGCTCCCAAAGGCACCAGACAACCCAGCAGCCTGTACCCACCTCTCCCATCCTTGGGCCACCCCCCGAGCTTAGACTAAGTCTAGCAAGGGCCATACCCTGAGTCTCCAGACTCCCAGCCTGGGTCCCTGGGGCGCTGGAGAGGTATGGGCCAAGGCAATGGGGGTTTCTGGAAGGAAGAGGGACTGAGGCTTTGAGATGGCCACAGTGGGAGATGGGGGCTCTACAGGATGCCCCTCACACCCTGGCCCCCTGAGGTGAAGAAAGGAATCCCACCTCATCATGGCTGACTGGGTTTCTCTGCCCCCCAATCTCCCTACCCACTCCCCCATGGGACCCCTGACCCTGGCAAAGGGAAGCCCAACTGGAAGAAGGGGGCCAGGAGCCCAGGGTGCCCTGAGGCAGCCCTTCCCACCCCGAGATCAAGGCAATGGTGGTTTTACAGGCTGACGGGTCAGTCATGGCAGGGGCTGGGGGATGGGGGGCAGGGAGGAAGCAGGGTATAGGTCCCCCCTATTGGGGGCAGCAATCAGCCACCCCCTGAGCAAACCTTCCTGCTCCCAACTCACCCAACCAGGCCAGAGGCACAGTCATCCCACCCCTGTCTAGCTGCCCCCACAGTCTCAGGGCCCCTCTGCGATGCTTATCGGGATGTGGGAGGGCCAGCCTGAGCGGGGATCTCCCCCCAGGGCACAGCGCAACAGTTCCAAAAAAATAGAGATTTGTATTTTTTTAAAAAAAAATTAAATAAAAGCCCAGCTCTGCTGATAGGCAAATGTAACCCCCATCCCCACCCCCACCCCCTGTTGTTTCCCTGGCCTGCACCCCCATCCCGCCGCGGCCCCAGGTATTTACAACATGGAACAATAGAGGCCTGGGGTGGGGGACACAGGGCAGGCTCCCCCAGAGGGGTCCCCCAAGACAACACAACATCAACGAGAAAAGTTGCAAATCAGGCAGAAATGGGGACATCATTCCAAGGTCCTTATATACAGACACTGCATGGCCAGCAGGGAAGGGGCCCCAGGTGGGACGGGCATGGGCATGTGGTGGGCAGGTCAGCCCAGGAGGAGTATGGGAAGACAAGGCCTCCGCCCACTCCCACCCCCATCCCCACCCCACCTTTGGTAACAAAAGCCCTTCAGGGAGCCCCTGGTGGTCAGGAGATTCCTCTGGGAGTTCCCAGGGAGAAGGGCTCCCCAGTTCAGCCCTGCTTCAGTGCTGGAATGGGGGCATCCTATCTCCGCCCTGGTCGGCCATGCGGGAAACAATGAATTAAAAGTGTGTTGCCCACCCTTGATTCCACCATCTACCCAAAGTAAGGGGGTGCTCCCTGGAAGTCGAGGGATGGGAGCCTAGTCACTGTAGAAGAGCTCTCTTGGGCGTCAGCTGGGGAAGCCCCATGAAGGGGAAGAAGGGGCTCCCTGGGGGCTGGGGGCTGAAGTGAGGGAAGAGGACCTGGACCCTGCATAGGGGAAGGGCAGCATGGTCATGAGGCCAGTACTGCACGCCCCCCGCCCCCCACTTGGGGCCCTGGCCAGGAAGTCCACACTGGAGGGGTCAGGAGTGGGGCCCTGGAATGGGCCCATCCGGGAGCTGGCCGGCGGCTGGACAAGGGGTTGGCCGCAGGCCAGAAGGGGGCTCACAGGTAGATCTCGCGCTTGGCCGTCTGGGCAGATGCCGGTGCGGCTGCCGGTTGGAAGTCCGAGGTCTGGGTCAGGGGGATTTCCTCCAAGGTGGCCGAGTCCTTGCAGGAATCATGGCTACTGTGGGAGAAGGCACTGTAGGAGGGCAGGAGGCGCACGGGGGCCGTTTTGGTGTTCCGGTCTTCCGGGGGGCTGGGGCTGCCGGCGCCCGCAGGCTCCTGCCCTCCTCGGTCCTGGTAAGGCACGAAGGTGGAGAGTTTGAGGGCGCTGCTCTTGGTCCGGCGGCTGGGAGACGACTGGCCGGGCATCCAGCATGTGTCAGAGTGACCAAACTCGCTGCACTCCCGGGTACATGTGCCCGTCATTGCGACATCAGGCAAAGGGCGCAGGTCTACAGGAGAGAGCCAGGACAGTCGTCAGGAAGGGCCTTGCGAAGCTCTGCATCGGGCCTCCCACTGGCACCTCAGAACAGGGTGCACCCCCCCCCCCCGGCCCACTGAGCTCATAGGCACACATCCCCTCAAATAGACACACGCCCCCCACCATCCACCACATGCTCACTCTCTCTCTCACACACAAAATCCACCCTTAAATAGACACATTCCTTCCATCCTCACCCACCCTCCAGCTCTGCTCGCGCACACCCACCAAATCTGCCCTCAGACTGGTGTGCGAACACGAAGCTCATCCACGCACTCCGTCATCCACAAATCTACCCTCCGACAGAGGTGAAGAAACCCCATCCTCATTTAAAGACCTTCTCTCTCTCTCTCTCTCTCTCTCTCTCTCTCTCTCTCTCTCTCTCTCTCTCTCTCTCTCTCTCACACACACACACATACACACATGTCCTCAGATAAGCGTGGGCACACAAGTCTACACTGGGCTTCTCTATCCTCAGACAAAGGGGGACACATACCTTCCTTCTGAACTCGCTCAAGCCTCCCCAGGCTCCAAGCTACCCTGGAACCCCACTCCACCCCAGAGCAGCAAGGCCCTCCTGTACAGCCATGAAGGAGACGAGCTTCTCTGTGGGGAGTTCACAGAGAAGCACACACTCACACACCCGCAAGCACACTCATGCAGCTCCTCCCCACCTCACTCCAGCCCCCTACACCAACCACCACCCCTGGCCTTGCCCCGGCTTCCTGCCCAGAACACCCACGGGAACAGGAGTTGGCTGCCTGACATCAGCAGTAGCCAGTGTGGTTGCTGGGCAGCAGGGTCTCCATGGGAACGGCTAAAGCCATGAGCACTTCCTGTTATAGTTGCCCCTGTCCTGCCCTCACTCAGGGACAGTACCAGGCGATGACCACCCCCTCAGGTTTGGCCTCCAGCCAGTGCAAGGTGAGGAGGGGACAGCTCTGTTGTTAACCCTCAAAGTGCCAAGGCTCTTCAGCTCAGGGCAGAGTTGGGGGACCCACGGTAGCACGGAGCAGAGCAGGGGCACTGGGTGGGTGGGGCTGGGTGCTGGACCGAGTCCCCCAGACCCCAGAGTAGCTCCCACATACCTGGCACTCTGCCTCAGGGCCTGCTCCGACCAGCCGGCTCTGCGCGGGCACAAAAAGGACGAGATGGGCATGAGACAGAGCATGGAGGGGCAGGGTGGGGGCGAGGGCACTGAGATCTAGGGCTTGGGAGGTTAGAGAAGGGCCCAGTGCCTAAGGGGTGGAAGTGGACCTTTGCATCTTTGGGGGGATTTGGGAGAGTTTGGACTGAGGGAGGGGCCGAGACCCAAGGACGTCTCCAAGCTGGAAAGTCTTTCCATCCCAAGGGGAGGCTTATCAGTGTGCCCCTCCACAGGCTGCTATGGACACCTACACACACACACACACACACACACACACACACACACACACTGCACCACATTCTCGCAGCTCACCCACCACATATTCCCACACTGACCTCTGCTCCAGCCAGGACCTTCCTTCTGCCATCACCGTCCAATCCCCTCCCAGATAAGCCTGCCCCTTCCCAGACCTTCCCACCCCCTTTCCTCAGCCAAACACTGCTTCTTCCCCCAAGGGGATAATAATACCCTTCTCTGAGATCCTCAAAGCCTCCGGGGTACCCTCCCTTTCCTCAAGGCCCTCTGACCTTGTTAGGGGACCCTCTTTATCTCAAGATTCCCGCAAGTAGAGTTAGGTTCCATTACCACTACTTGAGGCCTTTGGCCACCATTCTCAGGGGCCCTGTCCCCAGGGAGGCAGGAGAATGTGGTGCCCAATGCAAGGTCTTCGGAGCCAGAGAAGCCTGGGTTTGAATCCCCCCCAGCTCTGTTGCTTCCTATGTATAGTTGTGGGTAAGTGACTCACCCTCTCTGAGCCTCAGTTTCCTCCCCTGTAAAGTGGGCACCATAAAGTTTCAGGTCAGACAGTAGTCGTGAAGACTAAATAAACATAGACCGGAGAGCACTCAGCACAGTGCACACTGCTGAACATCCAATGAGCTCAATAAATGGAGGATGTTCCCAAGGTCTCGTTGCCATTTCTGGCTTCTGCTCATTCCTGGGGTGCCCCACCATGCTGACGCCCCTCACCGTTCTCAGGGTGCTCCATCTCTCCTATGCTGCCATCGGGGGTGGTGCGCTCATAGTGATCCTCAGGCAGAGCCAGGGGACCGAGTCGGGGCCCTGAGGATGACTTGCTGGATGGCGTCTCGGACTCCTCCAGCCCACTGTCGTAGTAACTGTGCTGGGACGGGTCCTGTAGCTCCTGGGCCTGGCTGGTGGCGGAGAAGGTGACGCGGCGGTGAGGTAACTGCAGGGAGAGAACTTGTCACTGTGGGCCGGCCAGGCTGCCCAATGGGGCCCACCACCACACCAGGCCCCAGCCTGAGCCAGGCTCACCCCCAGATCTTCCAGCCCCCTCAGCAGCAACCAAGAAGAGGCCGAGCCCCCCAGCACAGCACAGCCCCCAAAAGGCACACACCCTAATAGAGGACTTCCCCTTAATTCTAAGATAGCTCCCGGTACAGCCAAGACCACACACTGAAAGTTCCCAACACAGCATAGGCCCCAATGTTAATATAGCCCCCAGGCCACCACGATAAGCCTAATCCAGTACAACCACCTGTTACAGCGTAGCCTCCAGATACTGGCGCAGCCTCCCTTTAATTCCAGAACAGCCAACATCAGAATAGCACGATACCAGCCAACTCCCGTAGTTCAAGCAGAGCCTTTAAACACTAGCAAGCCTCCAATTTCCAGAAAAGCTCCCTAAAAGCAGTATAGACTCCTAATCCCAAAACAGCTCACCAATACCACAACAGTTCCCTAATTTCCAAACAGCACCCCCAAACTCCAGCTCCTCACCTGTCTCCTTGCTCTGTAACTTCCCATTGCCTCCATCCACAGGAGTTGCCAACCTCTTTCTGATCCTGCTCCTTGGCCTGGTTTGTCATGCCGCAGGCAGCCTCAGGACTCCCTGCTGAGTCTGCTCCCACTCAGCCCCCCTGTCCCCACTCCAGAGAGGCCTGGGAGTGGAAAAGGTGGGAGGGGAGAAGGGAGCCAGATAACAAACCAGACACCTTGGGGGATGGGAACAGGAACAATGGAAACTCCCTCATGCTCGAGATCAGGAAACATATTAACTGTAGAGGGCAGGGCCTGGGAAGACCTGGCATCCATCAGGAGGTTAGGAAGGCTGACCTCAAATGGACTCCTTCTAGGAAACAGGAAGGAGCTTCTGGGAAGGGCTGTGGACTTGGTGGAGCCAGGGCTTAGAAGCTGGGACTGGGGACTGGGGTGGGGGGAGTGGAACAGTAACAGGCTGCTTCCAGCCGGCTCCTATCAGCCTGCCACGGGTTAACGATCACCCCAGGAACCTGGCAACCTCAGCTTAGCACATGGCACAACCAGCCAGTCACCCAAACACCCACCTAGGACTGCCACCGGTGTTCCTGCCAACCATAAATGAAGAGTCATGGAGGGCACAGAGCCAGGGCCCCTGGAGGGCAGGATGGGAGCCGCCCAAGCCCAGGGCCCTGCTGATGAGTCTCCAGGCTCCTTCCAATCCTCTAAGACTTTTTCAGAGCTTTGTCTTGCCTCTAAAACCCTCAATAGGAGGTTTTCAAGACCCATCCTCCTGATACCCTACATAATCTCCATCCCATTCAAGGCAGCTGGGATGGGGGAGTCTGCTAGGACAGGGAGCTTTGGAGCTGATGGGAAGGCAGCTGGAAGGCAGCCCAGAACTGCCTTCCCATCTTGGCTCCCACCCCATCTTCAGGAAGAGGCTACTCTTCTTGGGATCCATGCTGTGATCTAAAACATTGAAGGATCTGGGTGACGACAGACATGGTCCCCCAAATTGACCTGAACATTTGGGACTGAGAGGTTGTAAAGGAGCAGCGTCCACCTGGTGGAGTGAACGGCTCCAGGAGGGGCCTGGGGAGCACAGGGCAGTCTGCTTTTTGGGTGCTTCCCTCTCCTCCCTCTCTGCAGAACCTGCACCTGGGAATCTAAGGCTTCCATCCTGCCTGCTAGGCACATCACTTGGTATCTTTCCCCTATGATTCTTTTCTATAAAATAGAGGCTTGGGTCATACTCAACACCAAATGTTTCCTTTAATTCTCTACTATTAAATCTTAAAAAGCCTAGATCCAAAAGCTCTCTCAAACCCTAGCCCTGAAGTTCTAGACTAGCCGTGGGCCCGTTTGAAATGAATAAAACTAAAAAAAAAAAAAGACCGTACCCTTTTATGTAATGATGTTTACTTTGAATTTATATTAGTTCACACAAACACTCCATCCATGCTTTTGTTCCGGCCCTCCGGTCCAGTTTAAGAACCCATTGTGGCCCTCGAGTCAAAAAGTTTGCCCACCCCTGGTCTAGACACTTGCTGAATATTTCCAATTGGCTGTCTCTACTGGCCCTTCAGATGTCTGCAACCAAATTCTTTTTCTTTCATCAGCTTCTGCAAAGGCAATGACCTCATCACTACCCAGTCGCCCAGACTCAGAAGGATGATGTCTACCTACCTGGGAATCCTGGTACCTCTCCCCTCACTCCCCATTCCCCCCCCCCCCCCCATAGTCAATTATCCCTTGAGTCCTACGGGTCTTTTCTCCTTAAGTTCAGCCAAATCCATCCATCCATCATCCCCATTGCCACCATCTTAGCTCAGACCAGTTTCAATCCTGTACCTTCCCCACTATTCCCTTTAAGTCTACCATACACTCCAGTGGACTTTGTAAAACTCAGTTCATCTAAACTGAGCTCTCAGGGGCTCCCATTTCCCTTAAGGAACTTTCAGCAAGGCATCCGTGTCCTCTACAACTTAGTTTTTCTAGTCTCATCTCTCAGTTCTCTCCTACACCCTCCACTCCAGCCAGAATACTCCCCTTTCTCCCCTCTCCCTGTCCCCAACCTGGTCATACTCACTCCTGACTCAGGAGTTGGCTCACAGGGCAAACCCTCCTGCCCAACTCCTACTGATCATGGAGTTTCACATTCCCTTACCATGAGTCCACTCCCATGTCCTATGCAGGTCTTCCCATACTATGCTCCTCAAGGAAAGGGAGAGGGCACTATGGTCAAATAAAATTGGAAAACCCAGAATTATATAGTTTAACAGTTTCCCCCTTTCTTGCAGGCTTTGCAGAGCCTTTAATAGGATAATGTGATAGTGCAGCTCTTACTACCAAAACTAACTTGATCATAGAAGCTCCCCCCTCCCCCCGCTTTTTTTTTTTATCGCATAATGGTTAACAGCAGACTCTGGAAATCAGATCTCATGATGCTTTGTGCTTGAATTCTGACTTCATCGCTAACTAGTTTTCACTTCTGTAAAGTGAGCATTATAATGACTTATGTCACAAAGAGTTATGAGCATTGAATGAGCTAATTCACATCGAGTGCTTAGCATGGTACGTTGCACCTAGTAAAAACTATAAAAAAATAAAAATAAAAAAAAAGCAGCAGGTAGTAGCAGTAGTCCTGGGACAAGCTGGGGAAAGTTTTCCTATGGCACTTCTCACTCGACACTTAAGATTCTCATTTACCTCATCTTCTCACTATTAAGTCTTGCACAAAGGTGACCATTTAGCCTCGGGGTCTAGTACCATGCTGAGCACACAGCCTTTGTGTTTGGGTGATGACAATGGTGTTGCAGTTTGGTTGAGTCTAATGTTGGGAGAAGGTATGCATTGTGGCTCCACCCACGATCTGAACTGAAGCCAAGTAAGGAATAACCGTTCTGACTCTGGGAAAAGAAAAGGGGTGGAGGAGCTAAAGGAAGGGAAGAAAGAACTAGTGGCAGCAAGGTGGGAACAAAAGAGAAAGAATGATTGGTCAGGAGTTGCCTGAGGTCACCTTGGAGATGCTAATTTGTCCAGGAGAAATGAGATGAGACTAGATTTCACTTCCCCACACCCCACTCCTCCAAAGCCCCCAGGAGTTTTTACTTTGGGGCTACCCCCCAGGGCATGGGCGAGTTTGTGGACAGAATCAAAGTAGAGAGCTGGCGCCTGGGACCTCTTGGGAGTGTCTCAAGCCTCTTCAGTCACCATGGAGACAGGCTGCCTCTGGCCTCAGAGACTCACTCAGGACCTGAGGTCCCTCACCCAGACTTTAGCCTCCCTCCCTCTAAGGCACAGCTAGGGAAGACCCAAGAGAGCAAGAAGTGAGAGATGGAGAGAGAGAGAGTGAGAGCCAGCCACGCAGGTGGCCAGAGCAAGGAGCTGAAGGAAGGGAGCGGGCAGGACCAGGATGCCTCTGCCCCAGTCAGCAGGGAGCACCCTAAAAGTGGGGATACAGAGCAGGTCAATTCAAGGACTTGAGAGTTTCCTCCCCCTTCTCTGGGCCCTCCCTTGGGGCAGCCTAGGATGGTGATCATGGTGGGGACACAGGGCAGCGCCAGCTAATTGCTGGGTGTTGAGTGGTATTGGGATGAAGAGTCTGGGAAAGGGACTTGGGAAGATCTGGACCTGAAGGGGAGGTGGCTGGTATAATCAAGAAGTCATCTGCCTTCACCTGAGATGGTCAGGCTGCACCCCACCCCACGAGGTGCTCTGGTCTGAGTCTTTCGGGCTCAGTATGGGCAGATTGGCAAAGTCAAGTCTCAGCCAGTGGAGAAAGGGCAGGAGTTGGGTGCAGCCCCACCTGCCCTTTCTTGGTGAAGATTGTCATTCCTAGGGAGAAGGCCTCACAAATGTGGGATAAGGGGACATGTTGAAGGATACTTGGAACGGGCACTTTCCCTGGCACAAGGACATGGACAGGGGGGTGGATAGGAAGACGGTAAATTAAAAAGGTTGGAGCGGAGGGGCAAGTCTAGGACGTGGGAAGGGGCAGAAAGAAGGGATGGGAAAATGGGGTCAGGACCTAAGGGCAAAGGGCTGTTTCCAGTCTCTCTCACTCCTTCTCTCAGTTCCAGGAAAATAAGAAACGAAAACTCCAAAAATAGAGAACTTTATTGTCAAAGATAAGCGTTTGGGACTGGGACTGGGAAACTGGGGCCCAACCCAAGGAGCCTAGGGTGGGGAAGAGGGTGACACACAGTACATACAGAAGGCACAATTGGGGAGGCCCCTCCCTGACAGAGTCCCCGCCCAGTTACCCAGCAGCACCCAGGTCTCCCATTTCCCTCTGGAGAAGCACCATGGCTGGTCTCAGATGGAGACCCAGGTTTGGAATAGACTTCACTTCCCTCCCTGCTTCTGCCTCCAAATCCTTCTGCTACCTGCCCATCAGCCCCCACCTGCCAGAACCAGCACCTGGTCCAGTGTCCGGGGATTTGACAAGTCACAGGCCTCTCCCAGTGGGCAGGGAACAGGAGATCACACCGTCCCTCAGTTTTCACTCTGTCTAACCTTCCATGTCTGGGTGAGGCAACCAGGACCCCAGCATCCCCAAATCTTTGGTCCTACCTCCCGCCGCTCACTTGGACCAGCCCCCACATGGGCTGCTGAGCACCCGGGCCCAACACACCTGTTCTGTCACTCCCACACTTCAGTCCAGATGGCCCCCTGGTAGGGGTGGGGTGGGGGCTGGGGCATGCTGAGCTGCAAGGGCTGGCCTACCTGCTTGCTGGGGTATTTGGGGGGATTGGTGCGGTAGCTGTAGTCGGAGTACTGCTCAGAGCCCGTGGACGTGGTGTCCCCAGTGCCCACAAATGTGTTTGCAGGCGGCAGGTCCTGCACCACCTGGTGCTTCTTGGAGGCTGAGGGTGACTGTGGCTGCAGCTGGATGGAAGGCAGTGGGGAGTTAGAGCGGTAGTGGCGGCCCAAGTCAGGGCTGCCTGGTGGGTAGTTGAGGGGCAGGTGGATGCGGGGACTGTCCCCAGGGGCATCGCTCATCAGGTTGAACTTGAGGGACTTCTGCAGCCCAGCCTCGTCCTCATCCTCCACTGGCTTCACAGGCTTCGGGGACTTGCTCTTCTTGCCCTTGCTTTTGTTTCCCTTGGAGGCTTTGCTGCTGGGCTTGGGGGCGTACAGGTCCTTGGTCTCCTTCTTACCGGCCTGGTAGCCACTCTTGGCCTCCCGCTGCCGGCAGTAGCGCACAAGCACTGCCAGGGCGATGAGCAAGGCCACGGCCACCACACCAGCCACCACACCAAAGAGGATGTTGCCACGCTGCTTGGAGCGCTCATATTCTGGATCCCCGGCAATGTCGATGTCCAGTGGCGTATCCAGGCTGTGGCCCAGCAGGTTCTCCAGCAGCGTGCGGTTGGTCAGGGTCTCATTGACATAAAGGTGGACCAAGGCTGTGCCATAGCGTGGGGGCTTGCCACGGTCACTGACCTTCACCACTAGACGGTGCAGCCCATGGTGGCGCCGCTCAATCTCCTTCTCCAGGGTGATGGCACCTGAATGTGACCCAATCTGGAAGAGTCCGTAGGGGTTGCCACCAGCAATGCTATAGGTCAGCTCAGCATTGACACCAGAGTCAATGTCCTCTGCTGTCACCTGGCTGACCGTCTCACCAAGACGTGTCTGGGGGGTCAGCAGCCGGTGGGAGGTGTTGGAAGGGGCGGTGATAAAGGGTGCATTGTCATTCTCATCCAGCACATTGATAGTGACGCCAACATAAGCTGAGCGAGGTGGGACGCCGCCGTCCACCGCCTTCAGCTGGAAGGTGTAGGTGCTTTGCTGCTCCCGATCAAAGCTCAGGCTGGAGAGGATGGTGCCTGTGCCATTCTGGATGACAAAGTCACCATTGTCCTGCTCCACTGTGAGCTGTATTCGGGCATTCTCCCCCTTGTCCCCATCAATGACAGTCACCATGCCCACTGGACTCAGTGCTGGCATGTTCTCCATCACGGAGAAGTTGTAGCCACTTAGCATAAACTTGGGGTCATTGTCATTGTAGTCCAGCACATTGATGAGGACAGTGGCTGTGCCCTGGAGGCTGGGGCTACCCCGGTCAGCTGCCACCACCTTCAATTCATAGTTTTCCCGCTGTTCCCGATCAAGGGATGTCTTTACCCGGATCTCTCCAGTCTCGGGTGAAATGGTGAAGAGGCCCTTGGCAGCTGGCTCAGGCTCCAGAGAGTAAACCAGCTCAGCATTAGAGCCCGAGTCGGCATCACTGGCCGTGACCTCCGCCACCACTTCGCCCGGCTTGTTGTTCTCCAGGAAGCTGACCTCCGTGACGCTCTGGGTGAAGACAGGTGCATTGTCATTGATGTCCACCACTTGCACCTTGAGAGAGTTGGTGCTAGAGAGTGGGGGGTTGCCGGAGTCCACGGCAACAATCTCGATGGTGTAGTCTTTGACCTTCTCGTAGTCCAGTGGGCTGGTGGTCTGCAGGAAGTACTTCTTCTTGCTGTCACTTCCCGTCTCACTGGCCTGGCGTAGCTGGAAGGGCACGTCCCCTGCTACCACACAGGTGACAGCTGCATTCTCTCCCTCATCGCGGTCAGATACCTGCACCAGGGCCACTGCTGTCTCCTCTGACACGTCCTCTGAGATGTTAGCCATCCCATCTTGATGGGTCACCAGGCCTATGCCCCGGATCTCAATGGTGGGGGCGTTGTCGTTCATGTCCTTCACGGTCACCACCACCTGGGCACGGGCACTCTTGGGGTTGGTGCCTCGGTCCTTGGCAAGCACGGAGAAACGCAGGGTGCTTAGGTCCTCACGGTCCACGGGGCCCTGCACAGTGATAAGTCCAGTGTTCCTGTCCAGTCGCAGAAGACGCCTCACGACTTCAGGTGCCTGGTGGAACATGTAGTCTATCTCTGCGTTGGCACCTTGGTCTGAGTCATTGGCCTTCACCTACAGAGCAGGGGAGGAAAACAAGGACAACAGTTATGGGTTCGTCCAGAATAGCAAATTAAGAGATGCCCGTGCTGCCTTTCAAACGAGCACAGCAGACTTGACTGATTTAACGTGGCACCCTTTCCAAAGGAGCACGTGTCCTGCCCTTTTCCTAATCCTGCCCCTCTCGCACATCTCCCTGGCCTAGTTCCCTAAGGAGCACAGATGCTGCCTGCAACTCCTCAACAGTGCTACAAGCAACTACTCGAGATGGGAGCGGGCAGAGCTAAATCTACTGATCATTCCTGCACTAATCTGCCTGAATACGGGAATGAGGATCCTGTTGTCCAACTAGTACAACCCTTCCACCCAATTAAACTGGCCTTCAACCCCTTCTGAAGAGCTGGATAGGTGCGAGCAGTAGAGATGGTGTGTGTGCATGACATACGTATAATACGCATGCATGTATATACACGTGTGATTATGGGTGACTGTGGGAAAAGGTATATGTGTCCGTGCCTATGTGTGTTTGCACATGAGTAGAGACCCACAAGTCCTGGAGGACACAGGTGAGGGGATTTCTTTTGAAAGCAGCCAGGTAGGTATATGGGTCACAGGGAGCTGGCCAGGCCACTGTTTTGTCAAACCAGGGAAACCTGTTTCAGCAGCTTCTTCCCCTCCCACTGGGCCGGTGCTGGCTAGGCACCAACTTGAGGAATCCAGCAAAGCCTGCAGTGAGGAGGGAGGGGTTGGTGCAGGCCACAGAGCCTTCTGGCAGCAGGCTGGGCTCCCAGCATCAAACAATGAACCGTCTGTCCCTTTGCATCGGCACGCCCTCCCATGCCAGCACCGACACACACTCTATACAAACACGGGGGCAACAGGAACCTGGTTGAAATGGCCATGAGGTAGATACTACAGAATGTGATGACAGGTTGGGCGAGGGATGACGGGGGAGAAAGGGACAGACATAACTTGGCAGAGCTCTGGGGAGCAGAGCAGAAGGGTCCTAGGTTTAAATCCGAGCTCCACCACTTCCCAACTATGTAACTTCAGGGCAATTATTTAATCTCTCCAAGCCTCAGTCTACAAATATATAAAATGGGGATAACAATAGGCCCTATTTCATGGGATTGTGGTAAGGATTAAACAGAATAATATGTGTAAGTGCCTAACACTGCCTGGCACATTGACTCCTCTTTTAGTCCATCCATCCATCCATCCATCCTCCTATCTGTCCATCTCTGAAGATCAGTGCTAACACAGGGCTGGGCACCGCACCTAATGGGCCCTCAAGACACTGCTAGTCTCTTCTCCTTCCTGCCATAACTTTTTCAATAGTGGAGGCACCTGGACATGGGTTCCCAGCTATCCTAGTCTCTGCTCACTCCTCTGAAAGACAAACAGTTCCTCCTCATCCTTCAACCCACACCCACACCCCCCATCTATCTGTCCCCAACATTTTCATTATGATTCCCATTGTCTCCCTCTCTAGATAGGTCACCCAGCTTATCTGTCTCTCCTGACATTTTACCTCCCTTTGTCTGTCTAGGACTTAACTTCTGCCTATTTCCCTTCCATCCTTGCTCAGTTCTCTCTGCCTCTTTCCAACTGCCAGTTCTCTCCCATCCTCTCTACCTCTAGTCTTGTGTCTGCCCCAGTCTCGTGCTTCACCCACTGGGAGGGGTGTTAGCTACTACACACACATAGGCTCTGAAGCCAGACTGCTGGGCATGGCCAAGGTGGGACCTGAAAATATAGGCTGGATGATATCAGGCAATTTTCCTAATCTCTACGGACTCAGTTTCCCATCTGTGAAATGGGGATAATGCTTACCTTGTACTGTGGGGATTACATGATAGAATACATATAATGTGGTTAGAGCAGTCCTGGCACCTAGGCTATTATTATTCACCATCCCCGACTGTCTGTCTCCCTTTTCTTTCTCAGTCTCTCTTCTATAGGTTCCAGTCCACCAGCCTCTAAAAAAAGGGTTGAAACTCCTCCCCATGCCCACTTCAGCTTGAGGTCCTAGGACGAAGGCTTTCTTAGGATGGGTAACGGTGTCCAGGGCAGGCCAAGCCCTCCTCAGCTCCCTCACATCAAAGACAGACAGCTGCAGCCCAGGGGGAAGGAGAAAGGAGCTGGGGCTGGCAGGAGGCCAGGCTGAGATGACAGTGGGAGATACGCCCACCTGTCTGCAGGGACGCTTTCTTGCTCCCTCCCAGGCCCTGGCCCTACCAAGCTGCCCAGCCCCTGGGGCAGTTCCCATGGAGTGGGGTGCTGAGAACTTCAGCAGAGACAACCAAACCCCCCACTGTGCCAAGCACCCCACACCCATGGGACCCCATGCCTAGTGGAGGAAGCCGCATACAGACTTCTGAGTAGTTTTCTGAGGACCTGCCTGGCTACAATGATCTCATCTGTCTTTGTCAAGGAGGGAGGCAAAGTAAGGCTCCGTCCTCCCACTTCAGGAAAATCTCACATTTAAAGGGCCCCTGGTTGGGAAGATGGTCTCTTCTCTAGAGAGATTCTATTTGGACAAAAGGTGACTCCCTTGTTCCAGCTTGGCTCCCGTGTCTGGGGGACGGTCAGTTGACTTGGGAGAGGGTTTTACTTGGAGATTTTTCCAACTGGAGTCTGCCTTGGGGGTGGGGGGATTACCGGTCACATGCTATGTCACTGTCACTGAAGCAGCTTGAAAGAGGAAAGTACTATCAGCTGATAGGGTGGGGTGGGGCTTGTAGGAAGGTCTTGCACAGTAGCCTGTGGTTTCCCCTTTCAGTGAAGGGAATTCTCACCAGTTTAGGGTGGGCTCCTATTTCTAAAGGAGGGTCACCCTGACAGGAGGTGGAGGGGGCTCTCACCTGGATGACCGAGTGGCCTATCGGGCTGTTCTCAGATAGCTCGGCCTCGTAGGAGGGCCGCTCGAATTTGGGGGCGTTGTCATTGGTGTCCGTCACAGTGACGCGCAGCAGGGCACTGCTGGCACGCGGGGGGTTGCCACCATCCTGCACCTTGATGGTGAGGTCATAGGAGTCCTGGCGCTCCCGGTCCAGGTTGCCCATCACGATGAGCTGTGGCTGTTTCCCATCCTGGTCCTCTGCCACCTGCAGCCCAAATAGATCGTGGGCCTCGGGCCCGGCCTGCAGCTCATAGGATGCCACACCGTTGGGGCCAGCATCACGGTCTGAAGCCACTGGGATGGAGAAGAGTGAGCCGATGTTGGTGTTCTCAGGGATGGTCAGCGTGATGACTGGTGAGGCGAAGTTGGGTGTGTTGTCATTGATGTCCTGTACCTCTATCTGGCCCTCAAGCAGCCGGGGACTGCCATTCTGCACGAGGTCTGTGATGGACACCTCGAACTCCAGGATGCAGGGCTCACCAGGGAACTGGTTTTGGCATTCGCGGAGCCCCTCACGGTCGATAGAGGTCTCGGTGGTGAAGATGTCACCTGTCTTGCCATCCACCCGCAGGTACGGGGCGCCTACCTCTAGTTTGTACAGGTGGCCCACGTCTGGTAAACCGTAGTCAGCTGCGAGGCTCCCAATGAGGGTGTTGGGTGGCTGTTCTTCCAGCACCTTGTACACCACCTGCGTGGTGTGGCCTGGGGATGGAGCCAGCAGGAGTAGCAGCAGTGCCAGCAGCAAGGGGGGCATCGACAATCCTTGCCCCCCACGGCCTGGGCTGGGCCTTGGGGGCCCCATCCGGGCAGGCTCTGGAATCAGGAAGGCTGAAAGGGGAAGAGGCAAAACAGGCAGTCAGCTAACAGGAAGAATCTGGCCCTGAGGGCTGCCCAGAGCCAGCCCCCCGACTCTCCCTCTCCCACCTACACTCTGCTCTCCTAGAAGGAGAGCTCAGCCCAGCGCAGAACCCTGATTCCGGGCCCCAGAACCCTGAGTCTCACCCGCAGCTGGGTGTAGCAGTGGTGTCTGCCCAGCTGGAGGAGCCGGTAAGGGACCTGGAACAGGTCTAGAGCAGCTCCCGCCCATGGAACGCCCTGACCCACCTGACTCTCCCTCCTTCCCGCCCTGCTCAGTGCTTTGCCCAACACCTCCTTCTCACCAGCATCTGCCTTAGTCACCCTTGGTAATTACCCTGATACCAAGATAGAGAGAGACAGCTAGTGGAAGGGTGAGGCCTCAAGCATCCCCCCCCGCAACATACACATACATTACAAACGAGACACAGGCACCCCTTACACCCCAGACCCTGGATCACTACTGCCCACACTGAGGGCCACTCGTTGGCTGGAGGGGATAATGTCTCATTTCCCTTCTGAGATGCCAAGTCAAAGTATGTGTATGAGATATGACATCTCAAATCCTTGTCTGACAAAAAATAACCCATAGTGCCTAATGTCCCCCAACCCCCTGAAGGGCCAGCTTGAACTGGGCACCAATCAAGGCCTGAGAACAAGGTTGAGGACTAAGTGCTAGCCCTCCCCAAACACACATGCCCCAGACCATGCACACATGTGTACACATAGGATTCCTAGGGCTCCTCCCGCTCCCTCTCTGCCTTCCACCAGGGGTGCGGGGGAAGACACCATAGGTGTGTGGTAGACAGTAAAGGTCAGGACTGGGGTCAGGACTGTGATCAGGACTAGCCCAGGAATTGGAACAGGAAGCTGCCCTGCCCTGCCCTTAGCAATGGGGAGCCCAGCAGGTCTCACTGGGACAGAGGTGCCAGTAACACCACCAGCCTTTCCCGACCCTACCTCCTCCCCTCCTTAGTCTCTTGATATGAACATGTGGCTCTATTTGATCCTTATCCCGGCAAACATCTGGCCTCTATTTCACACCTGGCCCCTCCCTACCTTAACGGGTCCAGTCCCATCTCTCCCTGCCCACCCCCAAATCCTTCCAATGAGTCCTGATTCCCTAGCCAAGCGCAGGTGGCACGCCCAACACCACAATGACCCGTTTCTTCGGCCTGTCCCCCCGCAGCTTTGAGGCTGGGCATTTGTAGACCCCAGCCAGACCTGCCAGCCACTATCCCAGTCTTGACTCCCTCCTCCTCTCCAGCTAAACCAAGGCCAGCCCCTCAACTCAAATCCAAAGTCTTTGGCCCAGCATTTTCAGCAAAGGGCTCAGGTTCAATCTCTTTTCCCCACTGATACCCAGAATACCTGCCCCATACCTGGAAATTCTACTCCAGGCTCTATGACAGACCACACTCACCCCACCGAAAGCCTGCTTTGGTGCCCTAGGAATCCTTCCCAGATCTCCCCACCCCACAGTGACCTCTCCTGCCTCCAACGCACAGCCGCTTATTGTCTGCCCCAATCCCTCAGCCATGACTCACTACTACCTGGTGCAGCAGTGATTCATTGCTAAGGGATTGGGGCATATTGTGCACCTATCCCTGTGTCCTCTGCCTCTCCAGGCAAAAACCAAAGATCCTGAAGGAAGGGACAGAGCTCCCTACCTTCATCCCCCTTCCCCACCCAAGCTCCCTCACAAATCTGGGCACTACAGGTGCTCATTTATGCACTTACAATGTGCCAAGCTTTGTCCTGGGTACTGGGACACAGCAGCGAGCAGGACAGATACAATCTGCTCCTGTGGCGCTGGCAATGGTTCTAACTCAATGACAGTTTCGTGTGGCTGTACCCATTTGGCACATGTAAGGCAGCAGCAAGGTGGAGAAGAGCATCGACTATGACATCGAACAGGGTGGGGCAAACCCCAGCTGTCACTTCCTGGCTGCATGAACTGGAGCCAATAATATAGAGCCTCAGTTTCCTGATCTGTAAAATGGGGATTCTACTACTTATTTCCTAGGGAGTTTGAAATGATGTGGGCTAAATGCTGAGCACAGTGAGCACTCAACAAATGCCCCTAAAAGCACAATTGTTGTGATGTAGTTGTTTAGGGATATAATCTGTGAGTTGTTTGTCTTTCCGACAAGACTGAGCAGAGAGCAGGAGAGCCCCAGCTTTGTTTACTACTAAATCCTCAGAGCCCACCCTGACTGGGCATACAGCAGGCACTCAGCAAGGCTCCAGAACGACTGATTGTTTAGCTCCCGGGCTTACCCGCTCCTGGCACTTTTGGTGGTCCTGGCTTGTTTTCGTGCCTGTTCCCCTACTGAGAACCTGCAAGGGTCAAACTTAATCTTTCTCTGTTTCAGTCCATAGTAGACTCTCAGCAAATGCTCACTGAACACACAGATTCCTCACTCAAGTCAAACACTTCACTTCCTCCCCATGGCCCGCCCAAGGCACAGCCCCTCCCTGGTCACTTCTCAGAATGTCCTTAAAGTATGCGAGACCATTATCAGATGAGTGTGTGTTTGTTCCCAACCGCAATCTTAATCTCTTTAAAAGAAGGAGGAATTTCCCTGCCCTCCCGGGACCTCTCTCTATTCTGAAAGAGACACACACACACAAAAAAATCAAAAATCAAATAGACTGTTACACAATGTGAAAAACTAAAATAAAATGGAGGAATTTGTCAGATGTTCCATTTGGATCCACTCTCCAGGCCTTTACCTTCATAGACTAAACACAGGGCTTATCTGACCATCATGTCCCAACCCAAACACACCTGTCTCCAAAGAAACTCATTCCCTTCTGGGCACCTTATTCTGCCCCCCCCCCACCCCCCCCACCCCCACAGCACACACACAACTCCATAACTCGGGATCACTGTGCGCCCAGTTCCATGCGTAAGTCTTGGCAGAGTGGGGGTCACCAGGGAATTACCCTAAACCTGACAAAGAGGGGAAATAAGGCAGTGACTGCTTGCCTCCACTCACTCTCTTCAGATCAAGGATTCTTAAGCTTTTTGGGTCACATCCCCCTCTATGAATTTTTATGAAACTATGGTTTAGATTTTTCCAAGAAAAATGAATGCCACAAGTTTTAGCTACAAATTCAGAGGCCCATGGTCTGGCAGAGTTAGGGTGACTGACTAGTAGCTGGGGCTTCCTTCCCCATCTCCGGGTCACAACCTGAGGCTCTAAACCTTCAGGCCTCCCAGCAGCATAAACACAACAGCTTGTGACCTGCCCCATATTCTCTCTCTCTCTCTCCCCGCCCTACCTCCAACAAGCAGAGGAGCCAGGAAAGGACTGTGGCATCTATCTAACTTTTGAGTTGGAGAAAGAACCACAAAGGACTATCAAGGCAAGGAAGTGGGGGGAGGGGTGTTCCTAAGAGGTAGGAAGAATGGGGGGGCGGGGGAAGGAATGGGATTGGGGGAGGGTACCCAGAGTAGGGGCAAGAGTTGGAGAGGATTTAGGCACTGGAAGCATCTGGAGAGTTCCTTTAAAATGAGGGTCTTTCTGGTCCCACCCTTAGGAATTCTGATCCAGGGAAAGGGCCTGGAGAAATCTCCAGGTAGCAGGAAGTAATGGCCCTGAACTTTTAAGAGACAAATTTGAGATACACTAAATCCTAGGAGTTGGAAGTGCGAACTCTATCATCATCGCTTTTACCATCATCTTCGCTATTATCACCAGGGCCCAAGTTAACACTCCCTGATATTTTTCTACATTTACATACATTATTTCATCCAATCCTCCCACCCCTCTGAAGTGAGTACTGTTTATTACTACATGGCTCCCCACAACAGATGATAAAATTGAGGCTCAAAAAAAATAATTCCTTGTCTTAGGTCACAGAAGTAGTAAGTGGAAGTCAGGGTTTGAGAAAGAAGAATGCCTCTTCACATCCCAAAGTCTGGGGGAAAGGCTGGAGGGGGGAGGGAAAGTCAACAGAAATCACCCCTGAGGCTAGAATATGATGTTTGCTATGTACCCCCACCCCCACCCCAACATACACACACACACACACACACACACACACACACACACACACACACCCTGGGCTGCCAAACCTGCCAGGCAAGGAGGGAAACAGAAAGAGCGGGCCTAGGGTTCAAGGTCTGAAGGACTCCAGGCCTCCCAGGCTGTTTCAGGGACCCTAGGGCTGCAGGGCAATTCAGAGCAGCCATGAACAGCAGTGAGGGGAGCAGGGTGAGGGCTGCCCCTACCTTCCTCACCCCTGCTCCCAACATCCCTGAACTTTGTCCCAGTGGTTAGTTATTAGAAGTCATTGGTCCCAGACGGCAGACTTTGAAGCCCTTATCTCTGCCCCTCCCAAGCCCTGGTTGACTTCCTGGCAAGGCTTGTCCCCACCTCTGCCCAGTGACATGGGCACCCAGGACCCTGAAAAACCAGAGCCTCGGCAGGGACACTGACTCATCCTTCTCAGGCCTAAGGAGCACAGTGAGGTGGTGTGAGGGGGAAGAATCCAGGGAAGGTCAAGGAAAAACAACATCTGTGTCAACATCTGGGGAGGGAGGAGAGCAGTGGTGAGGGTTCACCTGGAACCTTCATTTCCAGCCCACCTGGGGGACCCAGTCCACTTCCTGCTGAATGCTTTGGCAGAAAAGGAAACACACAGAGACAGCTATCAACTTCCCAGTGTCCAGGTCAGCCCTGGACCCCCAGGCCCGACCCCTGCTCTGTTTGTTACACAACAGGCACAACATGTGAACACACAAACCCAGGGACAAAGTGAATGTCTGGAGAGGAGGATAAGTAAGCAGGGCTGTGCGGGGTGGAGCTGTTCAGAGGCCTCCCACAGTGAACACAACCCTCCATTAACCTTTGCAGAGCTTCCAGCCACCTGCATTCTTCAGATTATCGGGGCTCAAACCATTGCTCCACCACTTCCTAGCTGTGTGACCTTGGCCTAGTGACGTCACCTTTCTGAACCTATTTCCACACTGAACTGGAAATAATAAATCCTGCCTCTTGAAGTTATTTGGGAGCTCTATTACATTAAAAAGGATATATAAACATATATATCACTCGTTATCACTGACTAGAGCATTTTATTCACAGCATCAGGCACACAGTAGGTACTCATTGGTTGACTCGATCCCTTGCCAGTTGGGAAGACCTAGGAAGGCAAGGATGGTATGTATGCTATTACTGCATGGCATCCCCACCAGCCACCATGGGCCCTGGCAGAGAGGTGCCCCAGGCATTGCTGAAAGAATCTGTCTGCAGCACAAACTCTCCTTGCTCTTGGTAGGGGCAGCCCTCGCCCTGTATCAGAAGGGCCTCCTCCATCTCCTCTCCCCCCAGCCTTGATTCCCACTCAGCCACACCCCCACCCTTGCGGCCCCCTCCTGGCCCTTCCATCCCACTCTTCCCAGCAGTTAGCTCACTCTCTCTGTAGCCCAGCTTCCCTGAAGAACAGCCACGGCAGCAGCTCCTCTGCCAGGAGGACACCAGACCCGCAGGACACCCCTTTCCAGCTGATCCCTTTTGGAATTGGGGACTGGGGGGAGGGGGGGGCGGGGCTGGCGGGTGGTGGTAGTGGAGGGGAGAGCAGGGAAACCAGGCCTGCTCCCCTACCTCACTGTCCCCAGCCATCTCTGGAGGTCTTTCTCATTCCTCTCCCCTCAATCCCAACCCATGGCCTGGTCTAGTTGTAATTACAAATGTCAATCCGTGCAGACCCCCCACGTCAAGAAAGTGACACCCTGCCCCTCCCCTGACATACACCCAGACCTCAGCGGTTACAAACACCTTCTGGGTGCCCTCTTTCCTGGCAGTACGCGAGGGTTGGCCCAGAGTGAGTAATGGAAGGCTCCCTGCGCCTTCCGTCACGACGTCCTGGACTCTGCCGGTCAGGGCAGCCCCCTGCCTACGCCGCCGTGGTCAGCGGGCGCTCCCCGCACACACCCCGCGCGCGGGGCGTCTCCTCCCAGAGAACGCAGGAGAGCTGGGAGTGGGGGAGAGGGGCGATGGCGACAGTTCCTCCACCAGCCTCGGGCTCGGGCGGCTCCACCCCCACCCCGGCGGCGCCGGGCCTTGGGAGCTCCAGGCAAGGTGGAGGCACCGCGCGGTGAGAACACGCATTGGCCACCGGCACCCTGGCGCCCCCAGCCCCACGGGCCGCTGCGGGGAATCTCTCCTCCGCATCTCCGGCCTCTGCCTAGGGTCTCCCGCAAGCCCGCGTCGGCCGGAGCCACGCGGCGGGCGCCGGGAGGGATCCGGCGCCGGAATCACTAAGCGGCGAGCCAGGCCCGGCGGGGACGTCCCCATAAAACCGACCCTCTCGCGGCGGGCGGCAAAGGGGTCTTCGCTCGGCGCTCAATCCTCAAAGACCTCATCGCCGCCCCAAATATTTCCTGGTAGAAGGAATAGTCGCCGACCACTCCTGGGGGAACTGAGGCCACAAGTCTGGGCTCCCGAGGATAACTAGGGGGAAGGGGTGAGAGCGCATCTCACCTACCAATTCTGCTCCTGCGCGCGCCGCGATCTCCCTTCTGGCCCCAGGGCCTTGCCGGCGCACAAGACTCAGGCCTGGAGCTGGGGACCCGCGGAGGGGCGCCCAGGTGTGAGAGGAAACAGGTGTGCTGGGACCCAGGTGGCTCGGAGGACGCAGCTACACAGTCCGAAGAGGGTCTCAATGACCGCCCCAGGCTGGCTCCCTCTGCAAAGGGACCAAGGGCCCTGGAGCCCTGGGGAGCGGGATGGCGTGACCGGCCAGGTCCAGCTGGTTCCGGGAATACCCGGTCGGCCCAGCCCCGGAGTGGGAGTAGGGGAGGCGCCGGCGGGGAAGCCGGCCCGGCGGCCTCCAGTGTTCCCGCGGTGCAGATATTTACAATAACAATGCGATTAAGGTGAAAAGGCATTAGGGGCTCCCCGGGTGGCCCTGGCTTCCGCCGACGGAATCTGGTCTCCGAGGGAGAGGGACAGAGTGTGTGTTTGTGTGTCTAGCTGCAAGGTGTACTGTGACACTGTTGGTGTAAGATGTGTGAGACGCCCACCGTTAGGGGATTTTGTGTTTGTGATCGCGAGGCGCTGCTGCAGGTGCTTTACCGGGTTAGGGTGTGTGCGCTCAAGGTGTGTGCTGAGACACTGGCTGTATGTTTCCGTGGGTGCAGTCAAGGGGTGCAAGCCGACCTGTGATGTGTGCCTATGTTCTGGCCAGGGAGTAGGGAACATCATTTGTGTGAGGGTATGGTCCTTAAAGGAATACATGTGCGTGAGGCTAGGCTTTAAGTGTTCATAGGGGCACTGTGGCCGAGGCACTCTTACACGAGGGCACGGGGTTGCGCTTGTGTCCGAATGTCACAGCGGCTGCTTTCCGTGGTTCTGTGTGACCACGGGTTGTGTGTCCCCGCCGCTGAACGTGCAGGCGCTGGAGCGGCTTTTGAGCCAGTGCCTGTGCCCCAGTGGGCGCTGGTGTTCGGGAGGTATGTCTGTGCACATATGAACGGATGTATGTGTGCGTGTACATATGTCCGTGGTCTGGTCCTCGGGGTGCCCTCGGGGAGCTGGAAGCGCCCGCGCGAGCAACCCTCGCTACCCAACAAGTGTGTGGATGAGGGTCCTTGCTGTTTCGTCCTCAGGGAGCCCCCCAACACACAAACACACACTGAGGGCTGCGCGCCTCCCCCAAACCATCTCCATCCCGCGCGCTCCTAGAGTCTCCTTATCCCCGCGGCTCCAAGCGAGCGTGGGTGCGGGACGCCGAAGCTGGGGTCCGTTTCAGCACCCCCTCTCCTCGCTCCGCTTCTCGCCGCGGACCTTGGAGGCCAGGGTGCTCCGGCCGCAATCCCCACTCCAAGCTCCCAGCCTCTCCCACCTCTGCCCCGGCGCGTGGAGCATCGACAGGGCCCCCCTGGCCTCGCTCGAATGAGCGCCCCTCCCGCAGCTCCCGTCGGCCATGGCCGCTCCCCCGGCCGGGAGCCACCGCCGCCTCCACCGCCTCCACCGCCTCCACCGCCACCGGATCCTTACCCGCCTCCGGGCAGCGCCGGCCGCGGGCCTTGCAGTCCATGAGCCACCACCGGCCCCGGCCCGGGCTGCGGCTCGCACGGCTCGGGCTGGCGCTGCGGTTCAGGTTCCGGCTCCGGCGGGCTACAGGCGCAGCAGCCCCAGCGGCTCCGCGTCCGCGCCGCGCTCCCGCTCCCCGAGTGTGTGAGGCGGCGGTGGAGGCGGCGGCGGCGGCGGCGGCAGCGGAGCCAGCAGCGAGCAGAGCGCACAGCCCGGCCCGCCCCCTCCCTCCTCCTCCCTCCTGGCTCGCCCGCCCGCCTCCCGCCCGCTTCCCCGCCCCCCCCTTCCCCGGCTGGGAGGTGGAGCTCCAGACGCTCCGGTCCCACTGGGAGGGGGCCCCGAGCACCGCTCCCCCAAAGCCAGGAACCCCCTTTGCTGTCTTCCACTACCCGGGGCCCGGATACACAGGGCGACCCCTGGCTCTTCACTTTACACTTATCCCACCCGAGCCCCCATCTGGGACCCTCCCGAATTCCCTTCCTAACCTCACCAAACACCTGTCCCTACCCTGTCCCCCGGGAAGTCGAGGCCGAGGAAGTGTCTCCCCCAGTGCCTTCTTCCATGGACATCTGCTTCTCCAGATCCATCCTCTTCCCGCCAGGACCCCCGATCACCCCGTGTGGCCCTCCCTTCCCACTGCGCTCGGGGGAAGTCCACCCCTCCCCCTCTGGCCGGAGCCGCAGAGCGGTCAGCCACGGTGGCCGCAGCTCACCGTAGAGGTGGGGCTGTGGAGGGGACCTTTAGGAGTGGAGGGTTATGGGACTGGGGCCTCCTCTAGGATGAGAATGAGGGAATATACAAGTGTGAGAATGAGGTGACGTGTCTGAGTCGGGCTATTTGAGGGTCCCCCAATCACCTGCCCTCAGGGCGACAGGGAGTTTGTGGCCCCACACATTTACCAGTGAGATACACACATTCGCCCAGAGTCACGCGGGTCCCTGCCCCGCAAGGCCGCGCAGTGTCACATGCCCTCGCAGTGCCACACGTTCCCTGTCACACTCACACTCACCGAATCGCACAGCGTCACACGCAGTGTCTTACACATTTGGATACTCTCGTTTCTCTCGCTCGGCTCTGGCTCTCTGGCGCCATCTAGAGCTCTCGGAGCAGCTGGGGAACTCCCTTTCCTTAGCTCAAGGTTTGTATACCCCAGGCTCCCAAGTGCCCCAGTTCAGTATGACCTCCCGCCTTTTGCCAGCCAGAGGCATCGGCAAGGTGTTCTAGGTCAGAAGGATGAGGAAGTCTGTTCCTGGCAAAGCCTGGCGCTGGGTGTGGAAAGACCTATTATGGGATGACTGGTTGCTGGGCCTCTATTTGCCATGGCCTCTAACTCCTCCTCCTTGTCCTCCCCCATTTTCCCATCCATACTGCTCTTCTATTCCTTGTTTCTTTCCTCTGCTCCCTCCCCCTCTCGTACCTGGCCTCTCTGGAACACTCTTCTGGGTAAGGGCAGGATTTCTGGCCAGCTAAGGAGGCAAGCAAGGACTGCCCAAGATCTCTCCCAGAGCAGCCCCCCTCAACTGCACTCCCTTTCTGGCCTGGGCCTCGATCTAGTCCCCACCCCCAGCCCTCAGCCCCAGGAGCCCAGGACAGGGGCTCTGGATGAGAGGCAGGGTGAACTAGTGAAAGGAGAATCTGTCCTGTAAGTGGCTTCTCTCTGCCCCCTGCAAAACTCATACTCTCCCCATCACTGCGCACAGCTCCAAGGAAGGAATCAGTGGCCCAGAGAGAAGAAATCTCCCACAGAGGAGCTGCCCAGCCTCCCTGCCCCCAGCATGTGCCTTCTGCCCACTGAAGCAGCCCTCCCTGGTCTGCTTGCTGGGAGCCATTCAAAGGCTCCTCTGTTCTCCTCCCTTGCTCAGGGCTGAGCAAGATAGGCAGCCGCAGAGCTGGGCAGGAAATGCTAATCTCCCAGATGTTCTCTTTCGTCCTCCCTGCTTCACCACCATCAAACCCAAATCCTGCACCAAGTGGTAGGAGCAGAACTAGGCCAGGTCAAACCAGGGTGTGCCCATTCTTCTCCCTGCCCCTATCCACTCCTACCCAGCTGCCAGGCTGGGCTCTGTGGGGGACCGAGCCTGCAATATAGATATGGGGATCAGAGCTGACTTGCCCAGGAAGGGGGTCTGGCAAAGGACAGGGACTGGGAGGTGGCACTTGAAGGGGAGAGAAGCCAGCCTCCTGGCCCCATACCAAACTGGGAGGAGAACCAGGTTGGCAAGTAGAGAATTGCGGGCTCCTGAAACTGACAGTGCCTGAGATTCCAGCTGAAACTGTGGCCTGGGATTGAAGCCTGGGGGATTCTAGATGTGGGAGTGGTTGGGATGTTTGTGGCCTAAGGCTCTTGCTGTGACATGGGATGTAGCTACGAGGACTAGGATACTGTAGGGCCTGGCTTTGTAACAGAAAAGCTGTTGCCTCTGATTGCAGTTGGAACACTGTTGTGATGCTGTGATACTGTGTGCCCAGGCTACAGCCAGAATAATCAGATTACCAAAGAGGCTGTTGCCAAACTGTGTGTGTGTGTGTGTGTGTGTGTGTGTGTGTGTGTGTGTGTGTTCCTGTGTACATGTTGCAGGAAGGGCTGTAACTGAAATCCCACTGGACCTGAAGCTATAGGTGTGAGGCTATCCACACCAGAGACTGGCGATAGTTGAGAACCTGTTCTCTGCAAACATGACGTAAGTGGGGCTATGCTGGATCCATTGCCTAGGTCCTAGGAGATGAGAGGCTGTTGCTAGGAGCCTGTACTTGGGAGGAAGGCTGTTACCTGGGATAAGAACAAGCTACTGTTGTGTATAAGACTGTAGCTGGGATCCTATTGGTCCTGAAGCTATAGCTGTGATGACAGCATACAGTGATTGGTTATAGCTAAGATGCTGTTGCCCAGGCTTGTGGCTGGGCTGTTACTGTATGCAGGACTCTAGCTGGGGTGCTATTATGCCTGCAGCCATAGCTCTGAAGCTTGAGTGTAGCCGGGAGGCCATTTCCTGGTAATATAGCTGGACCACTGTTGTGTGGGGGCTGAAGCCCAGACTGCGTTGCCTAGGAGATGAGAAGCTGTTCCCTGGGATGCTGTTCTGGGAGGCAGGATGCTACCTGAGATGGGAGCTGATCTGCTGTTGACACTGATCTCCGGTTGTGCTTGGGACAGCTCCGAGAGGCTGCTGTTGGATCTGTGGCTGACTGGGTGGGAGAAGGCAAGTTAATTCTGCCTTGAGAACTGGGAGATGCCAGGAGGCTGAGCAGGGGCTGCCACTCTGGGGAGGCTTCCGCAGCTGCTCTGCTGTGGAGCTGGGAAGCCTGTTTTCATTACTGTTTTAACTCTTTTTTTAACCTTGTTTTTCTCTCGGCTGCACTTTCGCTCACTCATTAATTTTGGTATTTTTCTCACGGTATCTCAGCCCCTGTCACGGCTGCCATGGCAACAGGAGGCAGTGTGCACAGTGCCAAAATATCTGATCAAAAAATAACCAAAATAAGCAAACACCAAAATGGCTGTGCTGGGGACTATAGTCAAGGGAGAGCTGATGGCTCGGGTCCAGGAAATCCCAGGTTCCCAACGGACGCCTTTCACTATCCCCTCTTCCCAGGGAAGCTTTGCTGAACCTTCTGATAACCTGGGAGACTCCTTTCCAAGGCCCGCCGCCCCCCCCCCCCGCCCCCCCCCCCAACACATTCTCCCCGGACTCCAAGATTTCCAGTGGTCCCTGCCCAAGAGGCAGCTTTGCCTGAGATGGGAGCATTGGGAGGGTGTGAGGGCTGGGACTCACTTCCCAGGAGCTGAGGATCAAACCTCTAAGAAACTCCCTACCTGCCCTAGCCACACACACATCTGCACCTACCCATCCCTCTCCCGGCTCCTCCT